TGCTCTGGATACAGCCCAGGATACGGTTGGCTTTCTGGGCTGCCAGCGCACACGGCCGGCTCATGTCCAGCTTTTCATCCCCCAGTACACCCAAGTCCTTCTCCTCAGGGCTGCTCTCAATAGATGCCCAGCCCAGCCTGTACATGTGCTTGGGATTACCCTGATCCATGTACAGGACCTTGCACCTGGCCTTGTTGAATTTCAGGAGGTTGGCAGTGGCCCACTTCTCCAGCCTGTCAAGGTCCCTCTGGATGGCATCCCTTCCCTCCAGTGTGTTGACCGCACCACACAGCTTGGTGTCGTCGGCAAACTTGCTGAGGGTGCACTTGATCCCACTCTCCATGTCGCTGACAAAGATGTTAAACAGTACCGGTCCCAACACCAAAACTTGAGAAACGCCCCTCGTCACTGGTCTCCACTCAGACACTGAGCTGTTGACCACAACTCTCTGAGTGCGACCATCCAGCCAATTCCTTATCCACCAAGTTGTCTATCCATCAGATCCCTGCCTCTCCAGTTTAGAGACAAGGATGTCATGCAGTACAGTGTCAAACACTTTGCAGAAGTCCAGGTAGATGACAATGTGGAAATGCTACGAGCTGGAAAGTGGTATCTTCAAGCTGATAAATAAAATTTCTGAGGAAACGGTTCAGAATTTCAACTTTAAAGCTGGCAAATAGTCAGTCAAGGCATTTTATTTATTTACTGTGCCATAAAGACACAGAGATAGATCATTATTAAATAATACCTTGATTCATTTTATGAGAGCATTTTGAGACAGGAGAGCCTTTCTTAGCTTTTAGTGATTTTTCAGGATTTTATTACTTCTACAAAGAAAAACGACTTAGGAATATCAGAACTTTTTGTATATAAACAATCCCTGAACAAGGTCTCTACTAAGTAAGATTTTTTTTCTAGGTGATCTGCCAAATAAAAGCCTTGTAGACCTTCCTCTTACTACCTGAAAGTATGTGGAATAGCTGCTAATAAGAAGTGAGTTTATAAACTAGCTATTAATTTGAATTAAAAACCATCCAGACTATACTATGAACAACCATATTCTATAAAGAGAGTAGGTAAGTACCATATGCTTATCAGCACTAAGGCCTACACTGCTATGCCACTGCAACTTACCACAAGGAAAAAAAAAGGTTCTTCCCAACACAACAAAAAACACACAGACACTGAAGCTCCATGGTGCCATTCCTATGTCTAAGAACGAAGCTGGAATAATTACAGAGATCTCACTTACTGGGGGAGGCACACTGCAAACTGGAAGGTGCTGCCCACTGAAAACCACTGAGCACCCTGGGACCTGCTGCGTGCTGCAGGTTGGGATGTGCTGGCCTGTGCAGAGCGGTATCCCATGCGGGGCCACGGTTGTCACTGTGTATGAGACAGGAACTGTGCCCTGATGGATCTGCAGCAAAAGGAAAAAAATAATGCAATAACTTGCTGTAAACTCTTAAGTGTTGTAAAGCATTATGAGTAAGATAATAGGCTTTTACCTACACATCAGAATAAAATATATTCACAGTGAAGTTGTAAAGGGAGGCACATGCTTGTGATTCCTGTTCACTAAAATATTCTTCTCAATAGAATATTACTTACTGATCAGCAGGGTCTGGGCAAGGCCAAAAGGGATCTCTCACCTTAAAACAGTAAAACTTCAAATGCACCTTATAGTCATAGAATCATAGAATGG